TGCAACCCTTCTGAACATGGATTTTGGATTTTTGTGATTCTTTTGAAAGGTGTGTTCTGTTGCTTCAAGGACATCCACCATCTTAGATTTGTATTCTTCACCCAAGTTGAAGAGGTATTTCGTGACGCTCTCTGCCTGGAATTCTGCCTCTGAATCCACTGATTGAAGTGGGGTATTGCTGTGACAGTGAGAAGGTGGAGAATGTGAATTTCCTTGTACTATCTTCTCTGCTGACAGCTGCTTAGCTGAAACACCCCATGAGAGCAATAATATGGTCTCAGAAGAAATTTGCAGGATGGCCTCTGTTATCTCTTCTAATTTAGATTTATCCATGGAAGTGCTTTCCCCATGTCTCTCAAGTTCAATGAAATCTTCTGATGAAAATTCATAATCCTTAAGGCAACCATCTTCAATACTTTCTGTCCACATACTATCATTTGGGATGATGTAGTCCACCAAGTAGGAAGACTCACGGTTCTTATATATTCGAAAAGGCACATCATTAATTGTGTTGTGCCACTTGCAATTCAAAAGGTCTGCAATAGCAGAGAGTAGTAAAGGCCAGACATTGGCCTGAAGATCTCTAGGCAACTATTGTAAAAACCTTGCAAGTAACCTTTAGACCTGCTTGTTGAGATTTACTATCTGGCCTTGAGACTGTGGGTAGTGTGGCCTACCATGAACTATGCAAACTTCAAATTCTTTGCAAGGCTTTTGCACTACCTCTCCAATGAATTCACTGCCATTATCTGACTGAATTACAGTAGGTGACCCTTCCTTGATGAACAAGGCCTTCAGAATGGCATACACTTCTTCTGCAGACTTTGTTTTTAACAGGAACAGCCAACAAAACTTCGAGAAACAGCACTTGACTGTTAGAATGTAACGGTAGTCCAACGAGTATTCTGCATAAAACTACAGTGCTGCTTTGAGGCCATGTCAATAAGGTCACAATGTAGTCTGGAATGGGGGCGAAAAGATCTAATGGGGACAGGAGTTGTTAATCTGACATGTTGAGCATCGAGCCAAGAAAGCCCTAATAAGGTTGAAAATACCCTTAAATACATATTTTGATTGAATAGCCTACTCAAGGCATTCACCCCTCTAGGGAGGCAAGTATCCTCTCCAAGGACACCTTTAATGTAGTGTAAACTGCTTAATACACCATCTACAGCCTCTCTGTAGAGAAGTTGCTTTGTAGTCTTTCTCCTTGAACATAACTGTTGACCAAAACAACAAGGATGCCATTTTTGTCATGGACAATCTTACCTTCTCGGTCAAGTTTTAGTGTGTAAACTGGTCTTTTCAGGCTACGTCGTTCAAAAAACTGTCTTTTATACTGATTAAAGAATGCATCTAAGTTTTCATTCTTCTCTGAAGAAATACCATCTTTTGGGAAAGATGTATATCCTGGAGTACAATACAAAACTGAATCTGCCAGTTTTTCATAAAAATATTTCTGGCATCCATTGAAGTTACAATCTGCTAGATAAAATATAGTATTTGTGAATAAGTAATAGCTATATAGGACTGCTAACTTTAACACACATTTATTGATTAACCCTTTACACCCTAACATCAGTATACATATTCTCTACACTATTCTCTATACATTTCCTGAAGCCCTGAAAAAAAGAATTTGTTTAAAATCAAGAGCTTTATAAGTTGTTGGTCATTTCCTTTATTCTCATGACCTCAATGTTTGATTCAGAGGTGATATTGTAAGGAGAAATTAGAAGCTGGTCACTCTTAGGGGTTAAAGGGTTAAGATTTTTTCTTTCCATAACTGGTAAAACAGATTCTATTTAATGGTTCAGAGATGACCTTTCTACAAGTAACTGGAATTGAGGCAATGGAGGATATTACTGCATGCTCAGTATATTGTTGCACGAAAGTATTTAAAAGTTTCCCGTTTCTGAATTCCAGTAGTGGATAACTGTTGTATTCCAGCACTGTTTCCAGCCCCTCTCAGCTGTTCCCAGTTTCTCAGCAGGAGTTAACTGTAGTATTCCAGCACTGTTAATTTCCAGCCCCACACAGCTGTTCTCAGTTTCTCAGCAGGATTTACTGTTGTATTCCAACACTACTAATTTCCAGCCCCACACAGCTGTTCTGAGATCACTAGCAAGGAATAAATATTCTTTTCCAGTACTTACTCGTAATGTCAGTTGCATACTATTCTTCCCATACTTCCTAATAAATTAACCTATATTTAGTGGACACTTCGATATCACAGACACTGAGGAAGGTTCTCAGAGGGGTTACCTTTGATACTTTTATAACTATAGACTGAAGTAATTAGCTTTCACTGCAATTTAAAGTGATTTAATTTTTGAAATACAGTTAACTTCTCCACTAATCACACAACACCTGTGCAAAGTATATCAATTATAAATAACAAATATGGAGAGCTGCAAATTACTTTCAATACTTTATAGTGCAAGCAATGTGTTCCTTACCATCATTTTCAGTGTTTTCTTTCCATTTACAGACTCAAGTGGCTGCAATGAAAAAACAAATTCAAACAATTTTACGTTACTTCTTAAAGCAAGAAATCACAAGACTAAACAACAAGTGTAGAAACTTAGACATACTTAGGCTAAAACTCTGATTCAAATATAAAAAATTACCCCCTGCAAAAAAAATTGTACTGCTGTCTTTGATACCATCCTGTTACTCTCCTATTTTTTTTTAACTTTTCTTTGCTTTTAATTTATAAACACATATCATGCTTCTTCTCAATGGGAAGAGTTTTCAAGAAAACCCGAATAACCAAAGAGTATTGGCAAGAAAGATAACCAAATGAGCAGTGGTATCGAATTAGAGCTTGGAGCAATTAACTGACCTGAATGACTGCTACACCCCATTCTTTTTTCCCAGGTCTATGTGAACTAGATCTGCAAACCAGAGTAGCATCAAACTATGTCTGATTGTCCACCTGGTTGCCGTGTGAATTTTAATATATTTTACATTTGGGTAGCTTATGATACAACAACTATATATTGCAAATTTGAACCAATGTTTGTTAAAGATATGGACCATTTATCTTCTCACCACGTCTATAGTAAGCAAATTCTCCTCACCCCACCCACCATGGAAACAGCCCAATATCTCATTACAGCACACGTTACCGGTTAGCCAAGTCTAAAAGCGGAGTTTGCATTTTTTTTCCCGCACGTCTCAAGGGCACAACGCCTCGCCTCGCCCCGGCCAGGACAAGAACCCAGGTCGTCCGACTCGGAGCCCAGTGCACTGACCACTGGACTACTGAACAAAGCCGTGGCCCGCAGTACAGTTGCCACAGGCGGTGTGCATACTCCGATTGCTTTGTATTGTGGTAGCTTGATTTTCAATATGGCGGTGAAAGCGGCAGAAATCGGCAGATTTTGACTGAAAATTCTGTAAAAGTTAGGCCGCTCCTTTTTCCTTTCACCATAGGTAAATATAACCTGATTTATTCTGAATGTATATCAGTATTTTTTGTACGTATTTGTCGCGTATTCTATGGTTCTCAAGGACAAACGCAATCACTGTTTTTTAATATGTAATTTGAGGCCAGTTTTCGAGAAGGTCAAATTTGATGTACGTCGTAGTTTGGAGCCTTTCAAAGATTTGGATGGCCGCTTTGATCCTTCTTCAACTGCTCTGACTAAACGCTCTCAAACACTCTCCAACGGTACATGTGTTTCGCGCATTTTAAGTGCTAGTGTTTCAGTGAGACCGATTATGACCAAGAAAAGGCCTATTGTTGCGTTACACGGCGTTACTATTGTATACTCAATTGTGTCGGAAGCAAAGTAGAAGCAAATTAACTAATCGCGAGTGTTGTATGGTGAATCTATTATCTTGAGATTTGAATGAAGGACAGTTGAATTAGAGCAATGAAAGAAGTCACTTGACCACTGAATAACTCTACAATGCACACGTCGACACGCCGGGTAAGCCGGAAAGCAAAATGCAGTCGAGCTTACGCTTTTAAATCTTTTGACCTGAAAACTTAGCTGTTATTAAGATATCTTTTATTGACTTTCCTTTGTGATGTGATAATAAGGGTTAGTTTTAAGGCGTAATTTCCCTGTCTGTATGTTCTTGAGGTTTGGCAAAGCCGAATGAGATTGTTATAAAAGGTAATATTTTCATGCGCGCGCGCTATTTTCTTTGTTTTCAAGTATACTGTCTCTACCGCAGAAGATAACTCCAGAGATACGATTTTCAAAACCTTATTTTAAGTATTCTCTATTCTTTTAAGCATATTTGAAAATCGGTATGTTTTTTTATTAAACTTTGAGCGTGACGAATTTGATCTCAAAAGGCGTAACGCTTCTCCTTTTGCGAATCCCGTATTTACGCCTTTAAGTATATGACATGAAAAAGAATTCGTGTATAAGAAGGTAGCTGTCTCTTTGTAATGAGTTTGCATGTCAAGGCTTGATTCCCTGTTAAATAACTCGCGAATTTCATATTATTCACACAGCCATCGGCTACGAGTGTAACGGTGTCCGGTCGTTTCGATACAAAGTCGTTTCGATACAAATGGGAGTCAATTCGTTACACATGTAAAGTCGATTCGATGCAAACTGAAGGCGTTTCGATACAGAAGTAAAATCGAGAAAAGTTCAGTTGAAGTGTGTTAGTTTTCGTCTTTGATATTTTCGATCGATCAACGTAGTTGTTATACCCAGTTTTCCCGCGACTCGATCGAACGAGTTGTATTACACAGTTTCCCTGCGGCCAAAAAGAACAAACTATATCAAATATATATTTAAATTACTACGGTACGTTTACGTTGATCATGACTTTCGCACATGTGGTGGCTCCTAAAAGAGCCGTTTTTAGCGGCCTGAAATCGTCCAAAGTGACGAAAGCAGGGCGCGGCGGCTCCTAAAAGAGCCGTTTTATGAAGCTTCTGGGCCGTTGAGGTAGGAACACGCCTTCAGTAGATTTCTTGCACTGCGGGCACCAGAGTTGAACTCTGGTGCAACTCTTGATTTTGGCCGCCGTCAATGCTCCCACTTGAGCCTGGTGGTTGTGGACATGGTTGCCGCACTGGAACTGGTCGCCGCGCTGTCTAACTGTGGCCCTACATGGGTTGACTTTGGGGCGGATGGAACACTGCCGTCAGTGACTAAGCCTCGCCTTCTCTGTAGGGTGTAGCTGTACCCCTGGCTGTCTATCAGCTTCGGCCGGCCTCTTTTGGAACTGTTCTCCACGATCTCGTACGTCACGGCGAAGGAAGACGACGTCTCGGCTGGAGTGGGGTCATGAAGGGAGGATTCTTCGTGATCAGTGCTGTACTGGCTCTCCACATAAGGCTGGGATTCTTCGGGGTTCTCAATTCGCGTACTCTCTGCATCAGGGTGGGATTCTTCTGGGTCAATGAAGGTAAGCTCTAGAGCTCCTGATTCCAGGTAGCTGGAAGGATCGGCGTAGGAGTCCGGATGCGAAGACACCGCGCACTGCCAGTCATTTCTTTTCCATATCGAACAGCTGCCCGATAAACTTCTTGTGATATACCTATTGAATCAAAGTAAAAATCTAAATTGAGATAACGTAATCATAGTAAAGTTCTCTAAGTGTTAGAGTATATAAGCGGCAACCTCACATACCAATAATACATGTAATAGTGTTGAAAACTTACCAGTGTTGCAGACTCGATGATTCCAGCAAAAACATCCATCACATTGAATGGTTTGCTGTCTGGGCCGAACAGGTTCATCGCATACCATGCAGTTCAAAATCTGCGCAGACGCCATCGTGATAACTGTGATAACTCGTTAAAACTCGTAAAAACTCAAAAACTCTTGTTAACAGTCGTGATCATACGATCGAATGAACATTCTACAGGTCCCAGTGTGTTTTATACACTGATACCAGTTACTTGAAAGCGTTTGGATTCGTTTATTCACTATCAATGAGGTAAAATTAGCAAGTTTTTTAAAACAATTAGTTTACGCTTCTATTGATATGATAATTTACAAAGCCGCCTACCCACGCGCCAGAATAACTGCTATTTCCTCACGGGTCCGTTGCTTCACCAACTTACACGACATTATTGATAGTATTTGTGTTTCTTGATCGTAGGTGTAATATGCGCTGGAGTTATAGAAAAAGTCTCAAAATCATTTATGTAAATCCCTGTTCTCGATAAATAAACCAAACCAGAACTTGGTCTCGTTTACGTGTTCCCATTGCGTAGATAGCTTGGATACATGTGGAGGTTCGCGGAGGTATGGGTTTGCTTTATTTACAACGGAGGTTTGTGTTCGCTCTAGTATGGTATTCTGTATCGAAACGATTTGAAGTAACGTGAGTTTGTATCGAATCGACTTTACATGTGTAACGAATTTACTTCAATTTGTATCGAAACGGCTTGTATCGAAACGACTTTGTATCGAAACGACTTTGTATCGAAACGACCGTGAACCAGTGTAACTGCTGCCAAATGAATAGATTCTTGGGCAAGGCTGCAGTTTCGATTCTTTCGGAATCTCTTCAGTTGCCTCCTAACATCGAATTTGTCTCGGAGGAATAGCAGGAGTCCTGCCAACACTTTTAACTTTGGAAGGAATGGCAACAGGCAGTGAATCCCCATTACATTCCACGTTTATTCGCGCTATCTTGCTGCCACCAGAGATGTTCACTCGACCGCGACAGGATGTAAATGACTCGCTTTTTGTTTTAAGACCATGATGCAACGCAATCAGAGTGCGTACACCGCCTGAGTTGACCACGCATGTTAAAAGTAGCACCTTGCACGGTCGGTCGTACGGTCGCTCGTCCAAATTTTTCCGCTTGACGGGTTACTACTATTTTGTATAATTATGGGGTTACGCTCTGCGAGCTCCGCTATAAGAGTTTGTATGAGAATATTTTACGACCGCTTTAAGGAGTAAAACAATACGTCAAATTCTCAATCAAAATACCTCACCTTACTTCCGCAGCGTATCACTTGTTATCTGCCGCTTTCTTTGATGAAAAGTACCCATTTTAGCGAGTTGTCCATTTCGAGGTTTTCAACGTGCATAAGGAAAGCCTAAGGCTGAACACTTCATTTCCGAACGCTCAATCCGATGGCATGGCATGAAGAAATTGGCATGAAGATATTGTCTAGCACCACGGGTGCCAGGTTACGGTGTGGTCCCCGGCGAGGCTCAGTTTAAAAAGGAGGCAGGGTTACCAATTTACGAATTTTAACGGTCGTTTGTCAAGGTTGGTGTGTACGCGGGCTGTTAGAAACCCATAAATCAGAATTTTTTTAAGCAAACTGCGGCTTAGCGTCGGATGCAAGAGGAAGGTTCAGTTTGTAGTGAATTGAAATGAAACTACAGTATATGTGCTTGGATTCTGCGTTGGATTTGTGGCCGCACGGTCATTTTGCGCTAGGATTTTTCGCGTCTCGGATCGGGTGTTCAGAAATGGAGTGTTCAGCCTTGGGCTTTTCTTATGTACGTTGAAAACCTCGAAATGGACAACTCGCTAAAATGGGTACTTTTCATCATAGTAAATGGTCAGACAACGAGTGATACGCTGTGAAAGTAAGGTGAGTTATTTTCATTGAGAATTTGACGAACTGTTTTATTCCTTAGAGCGGTCGTAAATATTCTCATACAAACTCTTATAATTCCGTTATGACTGTTATTATTGTGCAAGATGATCATCTCACAGCTGGAGCTTGGGTCGCCTGTGGGGAGAACGGCAACGCCAACACCGGAAGTCGAAATAGAGTCGTGTCCAGACTATCCGCGCTTTCCCGTTCAGAAATGACGTTCCCGTCCTCTTGCTGAATCACTCTAAACACTCTTATTTCTGGCGATGATTTGGGAAACAAGGACGTTTCTGAAATGATTTGTTATTTGAAATTCATCTTTGTATGTATTTCTCTTATACCCCAACCAACAGGTTATGTATATATCTGGGATTAATTTTTTCTTATTTGTACTGCAATTTTTAGTGTTTACCTTCTTCTTTCGCAACAGAACTCGATAGTTTCATCTTATGATGCACTTTATTTAGATGATTTTTTTATATCCCCCATTCGACAACAGAAGATTGTGGTGCCTTTTCGAATATATAAGGTGTTTTAATTCAAAATCAAAGGGAAGCTGTTCTTGTTTTTATAAAATCGAAAGCATAAATTGTTGTAATTTAACTGCAATCCCTTGAAAATATTCTCCTTCAGATGGCGGAAGTGTCACATGGTATAAACCTTCTCCAGTTAGTGCAACATCAAATACAGCAGAAGTGCTACCCCCTGGCATTGTACAGGTTTATGAAGGATCTTCTGTCACACTGAACTGGAACTTCAGTCTGTCAGTAGGTCTTGGTCTTGGTTTTGTCATAAAATTCGACACTGTTGGTATAGTCATCATTGGAAGAGATGGTTCAGCAGCAGGTCCTATCAGAGCTGAATTTCAGAAACGGTTCAACGTAAGCGCGACTCCACAAACAGCTTCTCTGTCAATCTCTCCCGTCACTATTGCTGACGATAAGTCTAACGGAGAATTTAGCTGCGAGTTAAATGATGCCAACGGTGATACTTGGAAACGAGCAATTCAGGTGCACGTCATAGGTAAGCTTGAGAGTGTTGCTGACCATAAGAAAGGCGTACCCTAACTGTAGTATACTGTTATCTGGGTCTTGTTTAAATTCCAGTTTGAAATTGGACAATTTGAATTCTTATCGGAGAAAAAAAATTTTACATCCCTTTTAACAAATTCATTTAGTTTCAGTTTAGTTTATTAAGAATCAAAGACCTAAAGTGCAGATAAAGTTTTAAGAGACACACCAAATGTTTTGGACACGAGACAAGGTTTGTTTTTAATGTTATACCGAACTTTTAAGTACAATGATGCAATCACATGTATGTGTCTTACATACCATTTGAGGTCCCATGAGAATCAAAGACCCAAAGTGCAGAAAATAAAAGGCTCAAAATTGGGATGCTCCTTGATATAAGTGAAAAAATAAATTACAGCATGAATGGATAAAGATAACCCAAACTTCCTTCACATTCTGCTTACCTCAGTAATCATATGTAATTGTCATAAGAGTGTGATAACAAAGTCACACATGTGATCCAGCTAGTAGTGATGATGTGACTACAAAGCAACATTGAACTTTACTATTTCCATCAGATTTTCCAACCCCTAACATAGTGCTGTCTGCTAGTACTACATTTGGCTACATTCAAGAATGATTTGATTTGGTAAAACTCACATGGAAAACATTGTAAAAAAGTAGTCAACCTAAAGAGAAATCAAGCAATTGATTTTTAAAGGGTTCAAGGTAAATTCAAATCCAAAGAGGTGTTGATTACCATACGCTGGGCAACTTGCATGTGTAATTGCAGACAAAAGTCTTTTTACAATGAATATATTTAAAGTTTATCAGAAAGATCTTAATATACCCTCATAGCAAGCAGAGGGTGCAATTATCTTTTGAAAGCTAGTTACTGACTTAAGAGGATGTCTCCTCAAGCAAGTAAATCAGGAATAAAATTCTACTGCTCTAATAGAATTTCACAAAATTTCCAACAGGAGGGGTATATTTTCAAATCTATGAAGGGAATTTTGGATATTTCTGTCATTTGCTTCCTGGTTTTTCTTTCAAGTGTGCTCATCAAAATTATGATATTATGTACATTTACCTGTACAGCAAAATTATTATACTGATGTGTGTTACATTTGAGACCATTGCAGTAGATAAATTATGAAAATTATAAATTCCTCACACTGTTTTTTGGTTTGTGTTGTTTGAGTCCTCAGGTGTAATTTCAAGACTTTTAAGGTTTCAATATACCTCAATAATATGTGAAAAGAAGGAACACTGGCATAAAAACTACATTGTGCAATGAATGCCAAAAGTCATGCTCTACTAATTTTTGAATTTTTCCTATAACCTTCCCCCATTTGAATGTTGTCTGGTATTACAAAATGGTCACCAATTTCAGGCAATGTTTTTGGGGGGAAGAAGGTGAGGCTTGCAAGTAACTTATTAGAGATGAATCACAAGATTTCTGTTTACTCTGTTGATTGGAGGGCCGTCATCCACCTACTTTTGGCACTTAATGTACAGTGTAGGTATGGTTTTTCCATTTCAAAGTTTTGCACAGATACAATATTACACTTTTGGGTGACCCCATGTCAAGGTATGGTTCAGTATGCCAATAAAAGCATCCTAGAGAGTCCAAGGAGAGTCTCTGCTAGATAGTTTCCTGCAAAACCAAAATTTATAGGAACCTATCCAGCAATTTCACATGACGGACCATGGTTCAATTCCACTAGACAACAATTTTGATTTCAAGTTTTATAGCAGCTTGAACTTGCAGCAGCAGCATATCTTGATGGTTGCTGGTTGCAAGCAATCAGGGAAGATTGCTTAAACCACAAGCCCTTCTCCATTTCAACAATATTTTATTGTCATTCCTCTTTGGATTTCTTTAACTTCTTGCTCTGACACCCAACCTCCTGGCTCACAGTCATGGAATATTTTCCAGTCCATCTTTACCCCTTCACAGCCTACTTTTATATGCTAAGGTATGGCAAAGATCACCATATGCAACTGAAACTAGGAGATGTTTCCAGGATTAAAATCAAGAATCATGATGTTTTGCTGCCAAAAACTGTGGGAATCATTTATGGTGACACATTAAAATTGGCCATTCACGCTGTGGCGGGCCAAAGAAATTGTTTTTTAAAAGACATATTTTTGTAAATAACTCCCATGAATGTCAATATTAATTTCTACAATTATTATTTCTTGGAAACTGCAGTTAAAATAATAATGCTTAGTTTAGCTGAGAAAAGAATTCAGAAACATTTAGTGGCCTTTTGAAGGTGTACCAAATTTGTTAAGGCAGGCATATTAAATTACTTTAAATGGATTATAATTCAGGGACTGTTTTTGTATTATATGCACAATCATAACACATGTGAATTTCCTTTGCATGTGCAAGACTTGCAAAGAATGTTTGAAAATCATGTATTATAACTTTTGCATGTTGCTTATCTGTGTGCATGCCATTCAATTATCCTTGAAGTTTACTTGTGATTGTTTGATTGCTCTTAGTTCCGATAAATATCACTGGGATTAGAGGTGAACCAACTGTTCTTGAAGGCAACAATTTGCAGTTAATCTGTGAAGTATCAAGTCAAGTAGAACCAAACATCACCTGGACCAAAGAGAAGCCTGGGAACCATGGAAATGTTGATGTGGTGCAAGAAGGAAAGGTGCTGACTATAACAAACATCAAAAGGACTGATGCAGGAACATTTACCTGTACAGCATACAATGGTTTTGGTAAACCAAAGAACCAAACAGTTTATGTGAATGTTATTTGTGAGTATGCATTGAAAAAAACATTGACTAATGTTAAACAGAGATGCACTTTCCATATATTTTCTGTGTTGTAATGTACTATGCTAAGAATTACTTTTATTGATGCTTGGCTAAGTACATCCATGCAGGGCTCCAAGCTAAATTTTTCAAGAAGTCACCTTTGGCAACCTTCAATCTTAAAATGGTTGCTATAAAACAAATAACTGAACAAACAAAAAACTCACATCAAAGGGAGCATATTTCATGCTGCATTACTAAAGGTATTTGGTAAACCAGATGGCATGATTGCAAAACTTTCATTTGTCAACTTGATTTATTCACTCCCTTGCTGATTAAAAGATTGCAATAATGGTCAAGAGAGTGACAATGAATGAAACTGATGTCTAGAAGTAGAAACGATTTGCTTCAAAGACCCATGTTTAAAACAAATTTGGTTTAGTGCTCAGGCAAGAAACATCTCTAGTTAAAGTGACCTAAAATAGTGGTTTTAAAGCCTTCGATATTGTGAATAGCATCTTTAATCACCAGATATTTAGTCACCAGACTTCTTACTGTAAAAATTGAAGGTTAAAAGGTTACGTTAATTGGTACTGGAGGATACTTTGGCCTTTTTCGGAACTGGCCCTTTGTCAAGAATTTAACTTTTCACAACTTTTAATCTCATGTGGTGTAACGAAATAGAATACATGATTTATATTCACTTGCTTTCAGTTACAAGGCGTCCCGAAAATTAGAAATACTATCCAAAGTTTTTGGGATAAAAATGCACTTTGTATTTCATTTTCATATGGTCACACATGAAATGGATGTGTCAGAAACATTAAATACAGGATAAATCATTGACAGTTTGATCAAGGATCAACAAATTTCTTCCTAAAAGTTTACTCTTTTTTTTAATCTTTTGGTCGTCAATTGGCAACTTTTGTTGAAATTTTAGTTGCAAAATGTGTTTTTCACCCACCACGAGGACCAAATTGGTTCACAGCTTGGAGCACTGCATTTTCTGGGAGGTATTAATGACCACCTCGGTAAATATAAACCCTTCTTAAAATTGAGATTACATCTTGTGTTAGGAGACTCTAGTCCTCCACTGTCTCTGTTAGCAGATATGTTGAGTTTATGTTGGTTAGATAATGTGTAACAATCAGTTGATCATATCTGGCAAGATCTCAGTTCAAAGATTTGAAATATCACCTCCATGGTTTTCTCAGTGTCAAGCTGATAAAGTTCTCTGTTAAATTATTGGATACTATAAAAATTTGATCACTAGTAATTTATTTAACATGCAACTCTGAATGGCAAGAGGATCACTGGATAAAGAATGCCTGCTTATATGTATATGTAATGGTGTGTTTGAACCCTGTGACTTGTAGCACAATCATCATGCCCAAATGTGTAACATAGGGTATTTTCATGAAAATGTAAAAAGTATGCCAAAAATACTTTTATTTGCTAGATATACTTGCTAATTTACGTTCTAAAAAGAATTAGTGAAGATTTCAATGTTTGTTCGGTTTTTAAAGCTTAATTACTGATTACCCACAATCCTTTGCGGGCGTGGCATTTGACTGTATCACTAGATTTCACTGGCCATAATGGCTGAGTTACAAAAAAAATTAATTATAATAATATGTAATTATAATATTGATTATATTTCAACTATCTCTAGATTTACAAAGAAGCAATTATTTCTTCATTGACATCTACAGGGACTTTGTAAATGTTATTCCTCTTTCTCTGTAGTTCTCCACACACACCTGAATTATTCATAAGAACTCCCCGCATACATAGAGGAGAGGTTACATAGGAGACCGTGGATGTTTGTTGCTTGATTTCAACGAGAAAATCAGGCGTTTTTCGAGCGCTATTTGTGCGGATTTCAATGTAGAGCGGGCTTGAAATTTGATCGTTACACATTGATAAACAGAAAGCGAGAGTGAATTTAGGTTTCCGATTTATTTTGCTTTGAATATCTTCGTTTGTATTGTATGTATGGCTGTAAAACTTTGAGGATTTGTAGTCGAACACGTGAACTTTGCTTGGGAGTTGTCTCAGCAGCCGAGGTGAAGTAAAAGCTGAAATACGGGCATTTTTGCTGGTAAGTGGTGTTTGATTTTCCGTGTTTAAAAATAAACAATAACATCGTTTCCGAAACCAAAAATCACTTATTTCTTCTTTGCAGTTAGCTCTTTTTAAAAGTTAGTTTAGATGAGGGTAAGTAAGTGTTTGAACCTTACTCAGACGAATCAACTTTCTTTGTAGGCGTATATTCAAGATGCTAGACCCGCACATGTACCATGCAAAGCTCTGTTGGATCTGCTGCGTTACACAAGCAAACAACAGCGACTGTCTTCAAGTTTTTTATTCCTGTTCTTTTAAAAACGAACATTTAACTCTGTCTCTTGGCATAAGGTGTATTTAAGCCCTACTCAATAAATGAGCATAATGGAAGTTTCTAATTGATGTTGTTTTGAGTACGAAATTTACCTTTATTTTCGGGTTTATGCAAATGAGATGTTACACGTTACATTTATAATTTGGGTATATTTTCCAGTATCTTTAATATTTTTCAATTCTTACAATATTCCAAAAGGCAACACAATTATTTTTTTATTAAACTGCAATCATCAGAGAAGCAAAATGACAAGTTTGAAAACAATCTGTCCATTGCTGATCAAGATATTTTCAAATATTTCTGAACAACCCTGAATGGGCGTGATGATCATGCTACAAGTCTTTAGCTATTAACGACAAGTCACTCTGATGTATCTTTGTGTAGATGCTGTTTTCTAATCTGGTTTTTCATTTTCCAATTTGATGTACAGATCCAGCCACGATTATTAAATTTCAAACTGAGTATTTTGTTGGTGTACAACAAAGTGTGACTCTTAACTGTGAAGCAGAAGGAAACCTTCCAATTTCTTACAAGTGGATTCCATGTGACCCAGAACAAGTTTGTAACAAGAACAGTCTTGGTATTTCACAGATACTCAGTGATGCCAGCTATACCTGCAGAGTGGCCAATGTACATGGACCTGATATGAAAACTGCCATTGTTTGTAAGTTGCATTGTAGTCCTGCATATAAAGCTGTAGCCTCATACTTCTACCAACATGACATTTTGACTGGGTTCTAAGAGTTAAACCAGGGACTTATCAAAAGGAATACCTTTATCAATAAACATTAATTTTTGAGAAATTTGTTAGCATTGTGCAAGATTTTTCAGCACTTTGTGAATTACTGACATGCTTCAGGTTATTATGACATAATGGGATTGTACATATGTAGAGAAAGATAGATTTTATAGCCATTATCCCATTTCACAGACATTGCAGGAAATGTGATTAACATAACCATTGTCATTACAAGTGAAAACTGCACAGACGAAAAATACAACAAATCCTCATTACTGAGAAAATTGGAAGAAGAGGTAACTATATTTACTAAAATAATGCCTATGCTCAGTGTATTATTTAATATCTATTTATTCATTATAAATAACTGTGAATATGTGAGTCATGTATGTGAACTGCAGATAAAAATGTGAAAATGAAAGCAATCTTTGCAGTAATGAACACTACCTGAGCAGTAGTGAAAATAAGGCCCGAAATAAATTCAGGCCTGTACAGGATTTGAACCCATGACCTCTGGGATACTGGTGCAGATTATTCGTCACTTTATGGGTTTATTTGGAACCAACATAATGACCAGCTCCCAGTAGGCATGTTAGCTCAGTCAGTAGAGCATTTCACTGGTATCACAGAGGTCATAGGTTCAAATCCCATACAGGCCTAAATTGCTTTCAGGCCTTATTTTCACCGCTGCTCAAGTAGTGTTCATTACTCCAAAGATTGCTTTCATATTCATGTATTTATTTATTGTTATTTAGTTCAGGGTCAGAGACTGATGTGCTGACTGTATATTGATTGAAAGGAAATTCAGCTTCTGGAGAATGCATAAAGAATATTTAGTTTAATTCTACAGTGTTTCTTATGTTTCTAGATTGCATTCAGTCTTGAGCTCTGTCAAACCTTGAGCTTAAAAGGCTTTTCACAGTCTTCTTATTACTCAGTGTTTGCTCATGCTTTTTATTTAGGGCTTTAATTGGCCAGGTGCATTTTTGCCCCAAATAAAATATGAAGCATGTGACTAGAAGAAGAACTTTTTAATTGAAGTAGCACTTTTAAAGAAACAGTCTGAGCAGTACTCAGAGACTTATTCTTGGCTGATTCTTTGAAAAACAGTCCTATTCAATGCGATCATAAGTAGTAAATAATATTCAATATCATCCTCATTTTTACTTATGTACATGCGCAATACATGTGTGATACATGTACACAAACATTTTTAGATGAATAGTTGAATTTTTACTTGCAGCTCAAAAGAGCATTTGTTGGTAAACTTGATTACCAAAGAGTGGAGTCAATGAGTGTTAGGTATGTAAATTAAGGTGCTCATGTTCCCAAATTTTATTTACTTATTAATTGTTTTTTACTTTTTTTGTTGTCTGTTTTATATTTCATGTCTCCCTAATCGTCGCTTGTTTTCTGTTCCAAGGTGTGGAAGTATAATTGTTGACCTTGGACTGAAATTCAACTCCATTACAAAGGAACAAGATGTTCTCATAACACTTAATGACGCTCTTAAAGATGGAAACCTGGGAGAGTTTAGTGTGGGTTCTATAAAAGGGACAAGGCCTGATGTGAAACCAACAAGTGGAGGTGCCACATCACCACCTGATTGGTCCTCTGGGGGTAAGTCCTCATAACACTCCATGTAAACGTTTTGTAAGTTGATTAATGAATGACCTTGCCCTGTACATAGTTGGAAGGAATCGATACTGTAGCAGGTTTTTACAGAGATCTGAAAGCTTGGTGTATAATGATAAGATAAAAATGCCAACAATAACCACAATGACAATAAAAGTTGTAATCAAAACTAGAAATAAATTCTAGTATACGCGCCATGCTTGTAATTGGACAGTGTACTAGGAGAGTGTATGCGTCATGCTTGTGTAATTGGACAGTAACGCTTCATTTACTCGTGCACATGCTTCTGTTTTGGATTTTTCCTTAGGGCTGCCATGTGGGAAGAGAGAAGGTAAACTACTATTCAAAGACAAATGACTTTGTAAACATAAAGTAACAAGTCATTTAATCCGGTTAAGTACTCTCCCGATACCTATGCCATTAAGTTTTCTGAAAATATACAAAATGATTTACTGTCTAACTGAATCGAGCTTTAATTTGTAAATAGAAGGACACAATTTTGCTTGTGTTGTATACCTCAATACTGTTGCATCTTTCTGGGTGGAAAAGCAGGTGGCTCTGTTATTTTAGCCGAATATTAAGCTTAAAAGGGTCGGATAATTTTTGATGTGAATTTTCCTTCTGCTTTTTTTGTAAGCTCTTGCATAAACAGAATTTGTGTCCCCCCTCCCCTACTTTTTCTGAACATGCGTAGTATGGCCTGTTCAGTTCCATATCTTTAATGAACAGTGAGAAGAAGATAAATTAAGTTCTGACTGAATTCCAAAAGTTTCCTAACCAAAACAGGAGTACGGAGGCAGACCCGTAATGTTAAAATCATGTAATGTCTTAAGATTTAGATGAAGTGAAAGGTGCATCTGCTATTTACAAGCTAAATTAAAGTTGTTACGCTGTTGCATGGAATGGTTAACTATCGCCTGTGAGGTTTGTATTTTCGTTTTCAATTACAATCTCAGTGGAAAAAGGGTTCCTTTGTGAAAAATGAAACTTAATACAACTGAAGTTCGACCAAATTGTTTGGCTTGAGAAGATACGCTTTCACTTACAAAAATTTATCTCAAGTTTATCACGCTTTGTGGGTACCATAGGTGTTATTGTTGGTGCTGTGTTTGGATCAGTTGCTGCACTGGCTGGTGCTGGAATATTAGTTTGGTGGACTTGTAGGAAAAAGAGGCGTAACACGAAAGGCACTGAAGGTAAGTGTTACATACATGTTATGCTCTCAAATGAACAATAGTTTTAGAATCTCAGTAATATTTTTTCCTTTTTCTAAGACTAAGCACTAGCTTTAGTTCACTATCCTCTGCATGATGATCTTTATTCAAGCATCTTTATTTTTAACAGATAACTTTTAAATAGTGTATTGTTAACTAATAATTAATGTTTTGTTATATAATATGCTGATAGCTAATTAATAAAAGTCAAAAGATCGCGCTTGAAATTGTTTACTTTATGACTCAACTTGATGGGCATCAAACAGACTTTACTTTGCTTGAGCAAGATAATTTTGTTTGATGTCAATTGTTCATCCATTATTTGTTTTATTTTCCTTTGCTTTTTATGATTCTTTGTCTCGTTTTTCCACTACAGAGGTTGCGATGAGCAGAAGGTGAGATTTTTGTATCGAAATGGTGCTGTTTACTTGCGTTGTTCCTTATGGCCCAATCTGTGTAACAATTTATCACCCATACTATTCTTCACATGAATATCCAATAATAATGATAGATCATGTAAGACACTCGCTAGCCAAAAGGCACTCTTTCGCGGGAGAGATATCATTACAGCAGTTGTAATGATTTTCACTTGCACAATAATCAACATCTTTTTGATCCGTTAACACAAAAATAAACAAGAACATCAACTACAAGTGTACTTACTTTTTTCATCTAATGAAAGGTCGCTGTGTGTTACTTCAGGCCCAAGGAATAGTTTTCTAGGTGTCCCCTATTAGTAGAGCGATTTTCCCTTAGCGATCTCACTTTATGACAGGTGAATATAGGGTCATTATTATTATTATCAGTATTATTATTATTATTATTAGTATTATCATATTGCATTTTATTTATTACTACTATTTAATGTTTTTATCGTTGTTGGCAGATTTTAAAGAGGAATTAGTGAAAAGATGTTAAATATTGGTAGTGATTGCTGATAGTAATAGTAATAATAATTAGTAGAGAAACATTTTCGTGGATTATAGTTCAAGAGATATTGAGACATTATGATTTTTTCTTTTCTTTCTAACAGATGTATTAGTATTATCATTATTATTACTATTATTATTATTATTACTACCATTGCTATTGCTCCAAACATATTATTTTCAATAGACAGGTCTATGTCTATATGGCTGACAATTTGTAAAGCCTTCAAAAAGAAATTTTAGTGAGGTGTCTACAGAAAAAGTCTGTTTTTCCTCGGTCACCAAGACCGGCCACTTTGTGCACATGATCCTTTTCTACTCTGCTCGTTATTGAGGGGAATAAAACTTTCAGTACTTGAACATTGCTTTCAATGAGATTTGAAGTAGGTGGCTACCTCTGTAAAGCACCCGCCGGAGAATGTAATTGTATACAATTTCCCTCTCGTTAGCCCATTAGTTCCCGGCATTCAGAATAAACTGGCTTCAAATGGAGTTTTTTTGTGTTAAACTTCGTTAAATAATCATGAAATATTTGAATTTTCTTTGTAACAATTTTTGCAACTCATCGTTTTACTTCTGATCAAAATCTTCCATTCGCTGACATGCAAACCTGCTCCCTGAGTTTCACACAAAAGTCCTCTGAAAGGAAGGTTACTGTTTACTGAAATTTGAGTCAGAATGTTCTTGGAAATTCTGAATCTTTTTTTCCTGGAAATTTCGTGTAAGAACGCAATAAACCAGTAACCATGAGAACATAGTCTTCCTCGCTTTTTACCGCAAATGCAGCTTTTTTGTAACTGAAAGTTAGACGCCAAGTGTTTAATAGCTGTTTTTGTTCCTCTCTTTGTAATTAAGCCTCGGGTAAGCGTTTTTATGCAAACTTCTGAAAAATGGACAAGTACGCTATTTTGTCGATTTTGACTCTCGAGTTTGTTTTCTAACCAGCAGTTGAGAAGAATTGTCTAAAAATATTTGATGATATTAGTTCACCACAAAGTTGGTTGAAAATGATTTAAGTAAACGACGATGTGCACTTAGCGCTTGATGAATTTATGTTAAACATGCGAAACAAGCAGAAAAAGAAAATTCCCAGTCAAAGAATGAATCTAAAAATCAAAGACCACAGAATTTGAAAAATAAGCAAGGTGAATAATCCAATACTAAAATTAATACTGTTTTCTATGTTACTTGTTAATTTTTTTGTTCTTAAAATTGGACTTGGGCGTTGAAAGTAACCGGCGATTCACAACAATTCTTATCAAAAGCAATGCATGAATGTAGAGGATGCGAAATCCTCTCTGGAAATTCAGGGCAAGTCCACTCTAAAGGTCTGACTGTAGCCGAGCCTGCATCTGTTTTCCAGCTGCGATTTAACTGGAATTAGCTTTCTGGAAAGTTTTTCTGTTATTTTGGAATTTCCAGGCAGAGGGGATTGATTTTGTTGCGTTCGACGAAGGAGAACGCATGCTTTTCGTGTCGTTTTTCCGGAAATCACTCTCAAGGGTTTTATGGACCAGTCTCAAGGGGATCGGTCGTGATGCTATGCGATTTCAGGAATTGGCGCCATTTTGGACTATTGCCATGTGGCACAAATAGCCTCGATCTCATGTGGAAGTGCTTTCTTGGCTGCCTTGAGCTGAGGACACCACTTTTTTTTCTGCGCAATCAGTACAATAAAAAAACTTTTATTAGGGATCGAACGCACTTTTCTAATCTTTGATTATTACTAGTTTTATAATATATTTGTGTTGTTGTTTCAGAACATTTGGAAATTCAAATGATGAAAGAAGAGAAAGTACAAATGTAGGTCAAACGATGAAATCTTTTACCTTTTATAGATATATCTTCCTGTGGTTTAAGCCGCTTTTTTTCTTAAGTTGCTGCCTTTACTGAGTCTATTTTCATTGCGGTTTACAGTTTACCCAAACCCAGAAAGTTATGATCCACAAGGAATATACGTCGATCATTCCTTGATACATTAAAATACGTCATTCAAGTAAATACGGGAGTATTTTATGAAATTGAAAACAATTTTTTTCTAAGATTGTAGTCGAATTGCCTAAACCTTCTCAAAGCCATTACATGGCACTGGATGACAGAGCTCGTTCACAAGTGATGGAAGATGCTAGTCCACTCAGCAATGAACAAATCAGCGAGTACGCTTCTCTTGATCCATACACACGCTCCTGTGAGATTCCTAGAGAACATGTGACGATAAAGCAGATCGTTGGAAAAGGTGCTTTTAGTCTGGTTGCCAAGGCAACAGCCGATAACCTTCAAGGAAGAACCAAGAAGACGCTCGTAGCTGTTAAAATGTTGTCAGGTACCAAGTAATACTGAAATCATGTTGTATTTCATGGTGTTTGATCAGACTTAGAGATCTGTTCAGATTTTTCTGTTTTCTGTCCATTATTTTCTGTTTTTAGCTGTTAAAGATATTATGTAAATGATCCCCCTCAAATGATGGTTACATTTCCGAGCCACAGCGCTTTACGTTGATGAAGAAAAATTTAGTAATGGATCATAAATGAGTTCAGACTATATCTTTGTGTGCAAGTTTTTAAGTGTGTAGAAAACGATTTTGAATCGAAGTAAGAGAATTTGCTATCTGAACTTGAATTGATGAAAATTATTTGTTTTTGAGTTTAGAAAAGCACCTGAAATATGATGTACGGTAGAGATGGATGGTATCTATCTTCCTATCTATCTACCTATCTGTATAATTACCTTTCTATCTACCTATCTATCTATCTATCTATCTATCTATCTATCTATCTATCTATCTATCTACCTACCTACCTACCTACCTACCTACCTACCTATCTATCTGTGTAGCTATCTATCAATCAATCAATCAATAAATGTATCTCTTTATCTGTCTATCTATCGATCTAACTATTTATTTGTTTATCTAAATATTTATCAATATATCTATATCTACCTATCTATCTATCTACCTACCTACTTACCTATTTATCAGTCTATTTATCTATCTGTGTAGCTATCTATCTATCAATCAATCGATCAATCAATCAATGTACTTCTTTATCTGTCTATGTATCTATGTATCTATCTCCCTATCTGTGTATCAATCTATCAATCTATCTAACTATTCATCAACTCATTTATTTATCTTCATATCTTTACATCTGTATATCTGTCTATATATCTATATATCAGTCGGTTTGTTGGAGTGTCTGTCTCTATCTAGCTATCTCTCTCTCTCTTTTCATCTATTTATCCATCTATCAATCTATCTATCTATCCATCTATCAATTTATCTATCTATCTATCTATTCATCCATCTCTCTATCTACCTATCTACCTATCAATCTTTCTATTTATCTATCAGTGTACTTTTATCCATATAAATGGCATAGTTGAATGATGTTTGTGATTTTATGTGAAATGTTATTTGAAGATTATTGATCGAAAATTATGTTGCAGAAAACGCTTCTGAATCAGAGAAAAAGAATTTGCTATCTGAACTTGAATTGATGAAACAACTTAAACCTCATCCTTACGTGATCAAACTCCTGGGATGCGTTACCAAATCTGGTAAGTACTGAAATGTTTATTATCAGCTTGGGACCTAAAGAGACCCAACTTTTCTTACACCCAGAGCTCCGCACATTGCTCGAAGTGTAAGTTACACAAGGTCAACTTTTGGAAAATCCTTGACCGACGCTTAAAGCTTGGCCTTATTCTATTCTTGCATGCACTTGTCAGGTCTGGATAGGGCTTCTCAGACAGCAGAGAAATAGTCACATTTTTATACAGTCCGTTAAATAGCAGCGTGTGTCTACTCAATAGCTGAGATGTAAGATCAGCAAAATTTAATGATGGGTCATAAATGAGTTCAGACTATACCTTTATGCGCAAGGTTTGCGCGAATATTGCGCATATGAGCCGCTCCGATATAAATATAGAGAGCGGGAACCTTTCCAGTAGTAGACCACGAAGGTGAAAGATGACCTGCCATCAACAAATTTAAAGTTTAATGCGTAGCATCGACATCTTACCCCTTTATAATTCATTTTCCGATTTTAGAAACTTGTGGCCACCTTGCTTTTAAAATAAATTTCAAGGATTTTAAATATTAACGTATTTACGGTAGTCAATATCTTATTTTCTTATCTTCGTGAAATGGACGTCGTACTCTTCCAAGTGGCGGCGGCGATTATTGGAGGGCGACATTTATTCGTAGTTCTGCTTCCATGTGTGGCGTTTAATCAGTATTGGCGTTACCTTGTTTGTCTTTCTAGAGCCACTGTTGGTGTTGATCGAATACGTTCCCTTTGGGGATCTGCTGGGTTACCTGAGAAAGAGCCGTGGATTAAGTGACACTTACTACAAAGACCCGGATATCAAACCACAAACAAATCTTACTTCTCAGCAGCTGATAAAGTTTGCTTGGCAAATCGCCGATGGAATGTCTTATTTGTCATCGATACCAGTGAGTGATGTAACTATTCTTTGAGTGATGTCTTTAGAAAATAAGGCTCACACTCATTATACCTCACTTATTATTGACTCTTGGACTCCGCATTCCCAATGATGCCATGTCATCCCATGTCAGTTGTCTCTTAATTCGTTAAAGGGTGTTTTCCAAAAGAAACATCTTCGCTTTGTTGAAGGTTATCCATCGAGATCTTTCAGCTCGTAATGTGTTGGTTGGAGAAGGGGAAATGTGCAAAGTGACGGACTTTGGAATGGCCAGAGATGTGCAAGAGGACAACATTTACGAAAGAAAAACCAGGGTCAGTATGAATTATTTTAAGAAAACACATGATGTTCTTGCAAGCCTTGGATTATGTGGCTGAATATGCCTCACTGGAGTGACTGCTTAAAGAAAACAAGCTCAGTAAATCCTGGTTAGTTTAAAGAACCTTCGTGACACTGTTCTCGCCATTTGGAGCATTGGCACTCTAAAGGACTACGCCAACTCCTTGCATTTTTGCTTCTTATTTAGGGGCGTCTCCCTGTAAAATGGACTGCCATCGAGGCGTTGCTTTACGGAAAGTACTCTACCAAGAGTGATGTGTGAGTACAATGAAGACATGGGCACTGCATATAGGCTTAATGAGATTGTTTTGTATGAATTGTTTTCGAGTCTGGGAAAAGTTATTGGGTCATTACTGTATTCTGGTCTTTGTATTTTCTTGATGTGAGGTCATCTCAGGAGGGAGTGGTTATGCTCATTTTCCTTAAACTCATCCCGTTTGTTTTACAGGTGGAGCTACGGAATTCTTCTCTATGAGATTTTCACAATTGGTAAGTTATTCCGGCTAGTCTGGAGTTTTCAGTTTTGGCCCTGTGTTTCATAACTACCAAGCTGGTTCAGATTGCCACAGTCCCTGGACTTGACCGGAAGAATTAATGACCAATGATACAAAAATGAATCGTTATTTGAAAATATTTTTACATATGTAAAGATTTTCATTTTAGAATATGTTAACATTACCTACTCCAATTCAGGTGGTTCACCGTATTCACGAATGGATGGAAGAAAAATTGCAAACTTACTTCAAGAGGGATACAGAATGCCTAAACCACAACATGTGGATGATAAGTTGTATGTTAATATGATGTTGCTATTGTTGGTTTTTGGTTTTTCTTGTTTGTTTGTCCTGCTTTTGTTCGGGTTGCATGTGCACCTCCAGATTTAACATTTTTACTTGTTGAACCAGCCTAACGTAGGGAAATGAAAGGAGTACATTATCACGAGTTTATAACTGTGTTATATACCTTTTCTACTTTGTTATAAAAGAGAGGAAATTTGCGACCAAAAAAGCTTGTTCATCGAGAATAGGTTGGACCTTTTCTAAGCCACCAATGACATACCGAGATATTCATAACATCCTTGTGTTTCAGGTATGAAATAATGACGAAATGTTAGAGAGACGAACCTAACTTGAGACCATCTTTTGAGAAGTTGAGAAACAAACTCAGAGAGATGGAAAACCAGCAAAAGGTAGAACTGAAGAGTTTGCAAAGAGACTCACTCTCTTTTTTTTTTTTGAAAATTTGAACGTTTGAATCTATCGCCGTCAAATTTACTCGATAATAGTGTCACCAAAAAGGTTTCGAAGCGTAGTTCGTGGTTTCAATTTATTTCGCTTGTAGAGTAGTATTCAGTTGAGTACCAAAAATAGTCCTAGATTGCTTTGATTACTTGCCAGAAAACTTGCGCCACCATCTCAACTAATCAAATGCAAAACTACAACCAATCCCAACTTGGGCAGTCGCGTTTTCCCGCGCTTGAAACAGGTTGCCTGATTTTACTCTGAGTTCTCATTGGCTAATGACGATGTTAACCTTCGTTCTGCTTGGTGGTTGTGATTACTGGAGGATTCTGTCTAGGGTTAATAGGTTTAAAAATAAAGGCACCATCAAAAGTTAAGCAAAGTATAATTTATATGTATGATTAAAGTGGCACTTTTCCCTAATGTTTTCCTCCTTTCTTTCTTTTCTGTTTTTATAGGGGTTGATAAACTTAAAAAATTATGACCATCGACTTTACGTGAATGTCGAAGATTTAGCCGCGTGAGCCAGCAAATTCTCATACAGGAAAGGATGGAGTAATGAATAATGCAGTCCTATGAGATCATCGTCTTTTTTCCTTATATATTTGAGATTAACCTTTAAAACCTCTAATAATTTGCTGATCAAGTAACTCTTCAAAACAAGCTGTTAACAGCGAAGCGAGGCAAAGTACAGCTTTTATACATTTTTTTGTATATATAACTTTTTTTACTTTTGGTCAAGTATACCAGCAACAATCATGGATTGTTAAAATGTGTTCGACCAAGCTTTAAAGTGAGTATTTGTCTGGAGGTGACAAAACCCAGTGTATTATTAAACCTACGAACATCCAATGGACGTTTCGTCGTCTAAGATCTTAAGTGAGTTAATAGACGAAGAAAATACTTGTGAGATCAGGCACACAGTCTGTAAATAGGCAACGGTCCGTATGTCAAAATACCGACCAAGTAAGAACCAATTAGAATGATAATGGATGTTGCAGCCTCATGAGATCATCCTTTATTTTATATATTTGATGTTAACTTTCAATTCTTTGCTGATGAAGTAAGGCTACAAAAAGTTTGTTTATACTAAGCGAGGCAAAGTGACTGTTCCATAAATTTTTATATGTATATTTTTGAAATTCTTAATCTTGAAGAGACAAAAGATTTTTTATAAAGAATTATAGAAGCTGCAACCCATATTTTTCCCATAGTCCAATATATTTTTAGAATTTTTTAAAGACAAAACATGTAATTTCTTTTAAAATGTGCATGCAAATCCACCCAATAAATATTCCTATATGTACCTTACAATGCGTGATAATTGTTGCAGCCGTCGTACTGATATTAAATTTCAAAATACTCGTGAACTTGGTAAAACTCATCATCTGAAACCCACGTGCAGGTTCGTCGTTTCGAAGTAAGAAGCACTTATGGCTTCGATTCTCTCTTGAGTCTGCATAGCTCCTGTGAAGATAAATTCGTCAGCTACCAATCCCACGCCTAATTACATTAATTTAATTGCTTGTTTAGATTAATAGTCGCGGAACGTGTAGAAGAAAAATTTCTGTTTTGAAAGGGTTATTTTGATTTAGACGGTAAACACGCCATTCTTTACGTAGAAGTATTTAAGACAAGTGTAAGAAGGTCTAGTGAAGTTTATCTCAGTTTGTCTGAAGTCCATCTCCCGCAGATTTACGAGAAACTGGACATCAGTAACATATTTCTTCCCTCCTTCTCGCCATCTTTCACCACTCATCTTCTTCCTCGGTAAATTAGATGATGAAAGATTGTTCATTAAAACGAGGATTTTCAAAAACTCTCTGTTTTACAAAACTTGATAAGGTGGGATGAAACTTTATGAGAAATTTTGACGTCCACAGCCTCCCCGAACATTTTAACCCTAAACTTTTCCGCCCGGCTTCGCCTAAATAGCTAATTGCCTGCAGCAACAAAGGAACTTTTGTACACTTAATACGAAAAGTTGAGCCCCAAAAGAAGACCATTTGTTGCTACAGAGCAAACTGGTTCGTTGTCTCTGTTGTCCAGTGTAACTTGCCATGTAGCGGTTGAATCTTTCGGTTGTATAATACGTCCTTTATTCGGTTTGGACGGCTGTATATTGTATATTGGCCCAACTACGTAGGAAACGAAACGAGTTAATGTAATCGATGCAATAAAATGAAGTGATTTCCTCATTTTCTACTGATCTTTATCAGTTAATGGTCCTTTCTAAGGGAATATTTAAGATAGCAGCGTGTTCTTATTGGTCGATAGGAGTGTTAAGATGGGGGTAACACGGTTGTGAAAATACGCCGTCTGTGTTTATAATTATATCTGAGAAATATTTTAGAAAAGCTATAACGGACTTAAGCCTCATCAAAATACTCGTAGGGAATTGGGGTTGGAAGAATTCTCTAAAGTTATGCAAACCCTGGACATTTTCAGGAATTCTCCCAACAACCCCCTCCCTCCTGTTAAGATGAGGCTATTTATATTAAACAAGGCTTCAAAACTCCACAAGAATAACAGAAAGTATGACAACATCAACCCATATATCAAGGAATATGGGTTGTAAGATATCTCTTGCTCTACCCTAAGAACAACTACGAATAATTCTATATTTCGGGAGGAGTTGGGGAAATTGAAAGGAGCGGGAAATATTCGAAATATTTCTGAGCTAATAGGCTACAAGCAAGGGTTCGTCATGTCAATACCAATTCTTCGCAAAAGTAAAAATGTCCAGACATTTTTTCTATTTTCATAAACTCGTTTAATGTATTTAAACAAGTAGATAGTTTAGATAATTTGCAGGAAACTATCTAGCAATTTTACCTGACAGACCATGGTTCAATTCCTCTAGAGAGCAATTTGATTTCAAATATATAGTGGCTTGAAGTGGCTGCAGGAGAACCTCTTGATGGTTGCTAGTTGCAAAAAATGCGGGAAGATTGCTCAAACCACAAGCCCTTCTCGATTTCAGCTAGATTTTGTTGCCATTCCTCTTGGGATTTCTTTAATTTCTTGCTGTTACACCCAACCTCCTCGTTGGCTCACAGTCAAGGACTATTTTCCATTTTATCTTCATTCATTCACACTTTACTTTTATATGTAGAGTTATGGCAAAGATCACTATATGCTGCAACTGAAACTAAGCGATGTTATAAGGATTGAAATCAAGAACCATGATGTTCTGCTGCCAAAAACATTGTGGGAGTCATTTATGGTGACACGTTCTTATTGGCTAATCACACTTTGGTGGACTAAAGTCCCAAAAGAAATTATTTTTTCAGTAATTTTTTTAATGGCTCCCGTGAGTCTTAATATTAATTTCTAAAAAATATTTCACGGAAACTGCGGTTAAAATAATAATGCTTAGTTTAATCTGAGAAGAGAATTCAGGAAAATTTAGTGGCCTTTTCATGGCCCACCGAATTTCTTAAGGCAGACATTTTTGCATATCAAAGCTCTTATAATGGATTATGATCCAGGACTATTCTTGAAAAATTTACAAAATCATAGCACGTATGAATTTCATTTGCATGTGCAAGGTTTGCAAAGAACGTATAAAAATCACGTTAACAGTATTGTTACTTTTGCAGGTTGCTTTTTATAATACGTGTACATGCCATTCAATTATCCTTGAACTTTATTTGTGACTTTTTAATTACTCTTAATTCTAACAAATATCTGTGGAATTAGAGGTAAACCAACTGTTCTTGAAGGTAGCAACTTACAGTTAACGTGCGAAGCCTCAGGTCGACCAGAACCAAACAGCACTTGGACCAAAGAGAAGACAGTGAACCAAGGAAATACTAGTGTGGTGTAAGAAGGAAAGGTGCTGACTATAACAAACATCAACAGGAGTGATGCAGGAACATTTACCTGTACAGCATACTATGGCTTTGGTAAACCAGAGAACCGAACAGTTTCAGTGAATGTTACATGAGAGTATGCGTTCATTCAAAAATACTTTGACCAATGTTAAATAGTGATGCACTTATATTTATCTTCTGTATTGTAATGTACTATGCTGTCAGTTAATTGTATTGATGTATTGATGTTTAACTTATCAGTTATATTCTTATCCAAGAACCCATCGTAATTGATCTTCATTAAAAATCTGAAGGAAGAAAAAAGTCTGTGGAAGGATGCTAACAACGGATATAACAGATGTAAGGTTCAGAAGGATCTGCAACGTGCAAAACGCACAGACTCAAACATAAAAACTCAAACGTAACAGAATCTTGGTTGGAAAATTTTTCGAGAACACACCGACGGAGTTTTTACTGAAGGAGTCTCGCATCATTTCCTTCAATAGCCATGTCCGGTCCATATCGTAATATATAACTTTTCTTTTTTCCAAATAGTTATTCCCTGGCTAACTTATAGGACTTTAAACAAATAATAAACATATTACAATTTATGAAGTAATTCGAACACCAAAATATATCACTTATTATACTACGGTATAGCGAGAAAACAACCAAGTGAAAGTAAAAAACAAATAAATAAATAAATAAATAAAATAAAATAAAAAGGAAACTACATGCTCACTCATCTGGCAAGAAGAAAGATCTCAATTTTGGTGAATCTTTAATTTTAAGAGAATACGCGCGGGGACGTTCCAAGGAATGTAGGAGAAGTCGACTCCTCGTGATCAAATTTCGTTAATATGCCAGTCCCTCAGCTTCTTTCGGTCGTAGTTACGTTGTCAAAGATGTAAAGATTTAAAGATCAATAATTTTATTCAACAAATGCAAACATATTTGGAGGTATGGAAAAATGAAGGAAAATAATTCTCAGATATAAGGGTTGCTTGGGATTGGATTAAATATAGTGTCCGTCTTTTTTTCGGTACAATACGCAAAAGAGTTAACTCAAATTAAGAGAGATAAAGAGAGAGGAGAGTCTGCAGAAGAAACTGCAAAGTGCACAAGCAAGATTTCAACTGAACCCTTGTGAAGAATTTGAAAAGACTCTGAACAAGTGCAAACTTGAGTAG